AGTCAACCTATTCAGTTTTAGTATGTTTGTTTTAGTCTATTTTCTTGTCTTATAATTCCAATGACAATTTAGTCTTCAAAAGCTATTCCTGTTGACTTTATTTATTTGCTCAGCTGGGCCTCTTGTTTGATCTCTGGAAGTGCGAAATACTTTTAGGAAGCAAAAAAATTTTTTTTAAATATCACTATGGTCAAATAGGTGCCTAAGAAATGTGGTGAAGAAAGCTGATAGTGCCTGGCTATCAAAAGATATAATGTCTGGGGTCTTAAAGGCTTGAAGATAAACACACGGCCATCTAGCTGAGAAGCAACAAAGCCCACATGGAAGAAGCACACCAGCCTCTGTGATCATGAAGTGTCAATGGGATCAGTTATGAGTCGTCTAAGACCCAGAACAAAATCATACCACTGTGATTGGGGGCATGCGGGAGGGTAGAGGGCCTGGAAAATGGAGGCCCAAAGCCCATCTGTAGACAATTGGACATCCCCTTACAAAAGGGTCACAAGGAATTGATGAGCCAGTCAGGGTGTAGTATAGCACTGTTGAAACACACAACTTTCCTCTAGTTCTCTAATGCTTCCTTCTCCCTTCTATCATGACTTCAATTCTACCTTACAAATTGGACTAGACCAGAGCATGCACACTGCTACAGATAAGAGCCCACAACACAGGAAATCCAGGATGGATAAATCCTTCAGTACCAACAATGAGAATAGATACCAGAAGGATAAGGGGAAGGTGAAGTGAGAAAGAGAGAATCGATCACAAGGATTGACATATACTCCCCTCCCACAGAATAGAACAACAGAAAAATGGGTGAAGGGTGACAAAAGATGATGTAAGATATGAAAATAATAATCAATATATTATCAAGGGTTCATGAGGGGTGGAGGGAGAGGGAAGGAGGGGGAAAATGAAGAACTGATATCAAAGGCTCAAGTAGAAAGGAAATGCTTTGAAAATGATGATGGGGAGTGTGGAGTGGAGACCCAAAGCCCATTAGTAGGCCACTGGAGATCCCCTTGCAGAGGAGTCTCTGGGAGGAGATGAGCCAGTCAGGGTGCGATGTAACAACGATGAAAAATTCAATTTTCCTCTAGTTCCTAAATGTTCCTCCCTGCTCCCATTACCATGACTTGAATTCGACCTTGCAAGTCTGGCTAGACCAGAGGAGGTACACTGGTACAGATAGGAACTGAAAATACAGGGAATCCAGGGCAAATGAGCCCTGCAGGACCAGTGGTGTGAGTGGTAAAACAGGGAGGGTAGAGGGAGAGTGGGTAGGAAAGAGGAACCGATTACAAGGAACTATATGTGACCTCCTCCCTGGGGGATGGACAACAGAAAAGTGGGTGAAGGGAGACATCGGACAGGGCAAGATATGAGGAAATAACAATTTATAAACTATCAAGGGCTCATGAGGGAGCGGGGAGGGAGGGGAAAAATGAGGACCTAATACCGGGGGCTTAAGTGGAGAGGAAATGTTTTGAGAATGATGAGGGCAATGAATGTACAAATGTGCTTTACACAATTAATGTGTGTATGGATTGTGATAAGAGTTGTATGAGCCCCTAATAAAATTATTTAAAAAAGAAAAGAAAATGATGATGGCAACATATGTACAAATGTGCTTGACACAATGGATGAATGTATGGCTTGTGATAAGAGATGCAAGAGCCCCCAATAAAAGTATTTAATTAAAAAAAATCTCTATGATCATCTCATTGTCAAAATCTGTGTGTATGAAATCAAGTTACTACTGGAGGTGCTGGTATACAAAAATTCAGAATGGTGAAACAATTACTCTACATTCAGAGAAAATTGTCAACAGTTTCAGATGGGTCTTACTTTCATTGGCATTAAAATAAAATAACCCAGTGAGTGATTGGGATATTGGCTCCTGATGCTCGAATGTGAATGTATGGGCTATATTGAACAACTGGGAATGAATACCTTTCTTGTACTATAGATTGCCCAAATTATGTTATTACTATCTCATTAAAATTCCTTTGAATTATTATTATATAGTTGTGAAAATTGATGCCCAGAGAGATTGATTAACTTGTTCAACATCACTTAGCTATTAGATGTCAGGCTGTATTCAAATGTCACATTTGAAATTAATTTCCTGAATAAAACATATACTTTTGCTATCCACTGGATTTTGACCCAAGGCAGCCCTGTGTGCTACAGAGTAGAATGGTTCTATAGCCCTTTCTTGACTAAAATCTTTACCAGAGCAGGTTGCCAGGCCTTCTTGCATGGCAACATCATATTGGTTTGATACCAACCCTTTTTTGGTATGTGCAAATGGCTTGCATCATTGATGTGTGACTATATAATTTTTTCCAAATAATTTAATAGAATATAATTCAGACATCATATCATTCAATAGTTTAGTCATATCAAGAAGTGTTGTGAAATTACTACCACAATCAGTTTCAAAAATTTTTTTCTTTTTGTACTCCTCGATGTTCCCCGTAACCACTCCATCTTCCCTACCGTACCCCCTAGGAAACCTTAATACAGTTATTGTCTCTATAGACTCACCCATCCTGGGTTACATGTGCTGAAAAAGATAGAAAATGTATAACAGAGAGTCAAAAAGGATATCAGCAATAACAGAATACAACAGAGAGAAATCTGTTTGAAAAAAAACAAAACAGAAATAAAACCTAGAAAATATTAAAAACCCAGATCAAGTCAAAGTGTGTCAATAGGGTGATAGAATGATAACCTTTTAACTATTCAGGTTGGAACTTTTATTTTAACCTATGATTATTGTCTCTACAATAATCTGTGTCTCATAACCAAGCTATTGCCATCCCTTAATTACGGTCAAAAGGACATCCCTCTGGAATGGCCTTCGGAGTATGTTGTGTGCCTTGAAGATACAGGGTTCAAGGTCCCAGTATTCTGTGGCACATGGTTTGGGTTCCCAGGGACTGTGCAGCGATATGTGTCATAGGAGGAGCAGACTACCAAGTATACTCTCCCCGTAGGGTTCTTAGAAGTATTGGCAGTCATTTTCCCTCCCCCTTTTCCTGCCAACAGAAATGCACTTGTCATTCTGACAAGTGCAATGCACTTCCCTTCTCCTCTCCTAGCTTGATTTCCTCCTCAGCATCACTTCACTCTCGGAAGAATGCCTGCTGATTTGAGTGCATCTCATCTCATATTTGCATGACAGCCACTCAACGGTAATCTTCCTTCCCCTTAATCTTGAAAATCTGATCCCGGTTGCAGTGAGGTCTCCTCTGTCAAGGTGATTTTCAAGATATATATATCTTTCAAGATATATAT